AATGATACTCTTTCGTATAATATTTGAACTTTTAAAAAATGTCACCTTACTTATATGTATCACTACTGCATGCCACAATTCATTCTATCTATGTGTAAGTTTATTTATTGTAGAATATGGAGATTCCTACTGGGCTAAATAGTACTCACCCGCTTTGTTTTAATTCTTTTTCAGGAAGGAGAAATTCAGATTGATAGTCGAAGAGTTATGGAGTCCATGTATCTTTTATGTATTAATTTCATCGTAGATGTGAAAGAAGATGAATATTGACATTGATTGTTTGTAATTATTGATTTGTAGCTCCGCAGTGGAAGCTTGGCATTTATTATAGTTATTTGTTATATTTCATTTAAAGAGCAGAACATGTATTATTATGTTTCTATTACTCAAGGGTAATAGATATTTGTAAAAAAAAAAACAATTAGACCTAATTTCCAAGCTTTTAGTAATATTTACGGTAATTAAATTTGCAGGCATATTCCAATCACAGAGATTTACCATTTGTTATTAGAAATTTTTTGCTAACAGGTGTGTGTCTATCATATGAAAATTGAAATATGGAACGCGCATATGTCAGTTAAAATTACCATTTTTTTCCAAATAATGATTAATATACTAATTTAGCTTTGTCCCTTTATGTCTCAAACACTAGTTCTAACTTCTTTCGTGTTAAATGTCAGGGAGAGTGTCTTATGTATTTTTATCCAAATGTCAGAAGGGTATAATATTTGAGTAAAATTAATGGCAAAATGGTCCCTTAGTTTACCCTTTTTTATTTTTTGGTCCCTATTGTTTCAATTTGATCAATTTTGCCCCTTAATTTTATGGATTGGTGTCATTATTAGTTCCAATAAGTTTGATGGATGGGAAAATTCAAATGATGTTTCAATTGTCCTTCGATTTATAGGATGTGTCATTTTGGTCCATGTAGTTTATAGGAAAGTCATAAACAATAGCGACCAAATTGACACCATCCTGTAAACTACAGGAACCAAATTGGAAACATCATTTGATTTTTCGTACATTCAAATTTAACCGCCGTTATTTATTGGACATAATAATGCACAAATCTGTAAAAATTAAGGGGCAAAAATTTGAACAAATTGAACAACAAGGACCCAAAATAAATAAATAAAAGTAAATTTACAGGGATGCCGCCTGTAATTGCCTCTAAATATTTTTACCCTTCCTTCTTGCAATAAGGGTTTATGCTTACTATCCTTCCCAATAATTTTGCTTGTAATGAAGTGTGCAAACTACCTCTGCTTGCAAATGTTAATTTTCTATTTCAGCTATGAATTGTATTACTCTTCTTATGAATAGAGTTAGATTTACATTACCAGAAATATGGGAAAGGAAGACCAAGTGGCCTATTTGGATCACATTGATGCCCAAATGATGAAATTAAGTGTTAGGCTTAATATTGGCGGATACTCTGAATAGGCCACGTCCGACTGGAAAATGGCACAGCAGTCAAAATACACCGCTTTGCCTTGATCCAAGGCACTTTTCTCTGGAGGGGTGAATTTTATTCGTTTAGATTCCTTAATTTTGCAATTTTTTCATTTTTAAAAAAATAGTTTCATTGTCATTGTTTAGGCATGCTTGGCTCAGATCTTTAGTTATCTAAATTTTAAGTCAAATTTACAATTTTTTTTATAATTTTTTATATTTGTATTTTATTTTTGGCTTTTGGTTAGGCAAAGGAAATTTGCCCTATGCGGATGTTTCGCAGCATAGAATTGCATCTTACTATTTTAAAACAATCTTACGACTTTTTCAGTTTTGAGTTTTATTAATATTTTATTTTTTTAATCTCCAAAATACGTTGTTGTGGTTGTTCATGTTACTTGGTTCATCATCCAATAATACTAATATCCTAGACAAACATTTAAAACATGATTTAAAATAGCAAATTTAACCCACTCTGGGAATTGAACATCTTATTTCTATTCTCAGTGGGGAATAGATTCAAATCTATGACTAGCTTGTAAATGTAAAAAATCTTAAGGTTTTTTTAGGGGCCCAATTTTTTTTTCATTTTTCCCCCCTTCCCCTTTTTTTTTCCTTTTTTTTTTTTTTTTTTGTTTTTTGTGGATAAAACATCACTACTTCGCTATGTGTTGATTTCCAATTAGGATCATCCAAGGCTTCCTTAATAATTCTTGGAGCAAACAGGTTAGATATTTTTGAAGTAAATGCTCTATGACTTTTGGAAAGTTTGTCATAAGATAAATATTTCGCAATGGAATGTTGGGTACATTTTCGAATTCCTTTCCTAATGGCTAGAGGAAGATCACAATCTGTGGGTATAACATTAGGTAAAACCGCTGAAGGAAATGGAGATGAAGTAGAGACAGATGATGGAGGAACCAGATTAGGAATACCTGAACTACTTGAGGGACCTTTTTTAAGAGATTCTGATTGGCTTTGTGGTAGAGTGGTTGGCTAGTCTTTACTTTTTCTTTGAGTATTTTTCCGAGCATAAACCAAAAACTTAGGTTCGGGAACAGTTTGTTCCAATTGTAGTATTTCTCCCCCTGCTTGTGAGCCTTCTATGTTTGGAGAAGTTGGACTGCGATTTCCTTCGTTCTCCATATCTTGAATACCCTGTTTCTGTTCTTGTTTTTCAGAAAACAAGGGATGGAGATCGCATAGGATTTGGTAAGGGATCCGAAGTTGTCTGCCAAAAATTTTCTTGCTTTTTCTTTTTCTCCCCTTGAAGAGAATTTTTGGTAAAATAGGATTGAGTTTCAAGAAAGGAGACATCCATAATCACCCAAATGTTTTTGTTTGAGGATTATAGCACTTGTAGCCTCTTTTGTTTGGAGCATACCCGATGAAAACACATTTTTCTGCTCTAAGATCAAGTGTGGATCGAATTTGGCTGGGTATGTGAACGAAAATAGTATAGCAAAAAAATTTTGAAGGCAAATCTGAAGGGGTGTGACATATTGCAAAACCCGGGTAGGCATTCTGTTAATTAAATAAGAGGCTGTCAAAATGGCATCTCCCCATAGATATTTGGGAACATACATAGAGAACATTATGGCTCAGGCTACTTCCAGTAAATGGTTATTTTTTCTTTCGGCAATACCATTTTGTTGAGGAGTGTCACGACATATAGATTGATGAAAAATACCTTTTTCCCTAAAAACATTCCCTAGATATTCATTGAAGTACTCTTTTCCATTATCAGCTCGAAAAATACTAATTTTTGAATGAAATTGATTGTCAATCATTTTGTAAATATCTTGAAACACGTTTTTTACTTCAAATTTGTCTTTCATCAAATAAACTTAGCAAAGCCGAGTGTGATCATCTATAAAAGTTACAAACCACTTTACACCAGTCATGGTGGTAACCTTGGAGAAACCCCACGTCACTATGAATTAAGTAGAATGGTTTAGAGGCACGGTAGGGTTTTGTAAGATAAGTAGTTCGATGACTTTTAGATAAATAACAACTTTCACATTGAAAAGACGAACAATCCAAATTTTTAAACAAGTTACGAAACAAATATTTAAGATATGAAAAACTAGGATGTCCTAGTCTGAAATGCCAAAGCATTATTTGCTCGCGAGCCGAATGTGAACTAATACTACAACCATAGCCTTGAGTTGTTTTGTTGCTGGATATGTCATCATCAAAGTAGTAAAGACCATTGACCATTCTAGCACTGCCAATCAACCTCCCCAAGTTACGGTCCTGAAATTCACACTGAGAGTCAAAGAAAACAACACGAAAGTGAGAGTTTTTGGATAATTTACTGGAAGACAACAACTTGCAGGCCAATTTAGGAACATGAAGGACAGAGTGAAGAGTAATATTTTCTAAAATTTTTATTTGAACTTTTCCTACAACGGGTGAGAAATTGCCATCAGCAATCCTAACTCTTTCACTTTCAGAATAAAATAAATAAGTATTGAATAAAGAAGAGAAAGAAGTCATGTGATCAGATGCCCCCGAATCAATGATCCATGGGACAGAATTTTGACTACAAGATAGAGTCATAAGGATTGCTGCCTGTCTGTGCAAGAGAACCACTAGGAGTGCTGGATAAAGAATTGGATTTTAGCAGTTTAAGAAGATAATCCATCTACTCCTTACTGAACAGACTTACTTCAACCTCATTGGGATAGGAGGATGCATGAATTGGTCTGTCACTTGATTTGCAGCTCTTCCAAGTTGCAGGCTTCCCATGGATCTTCTAGCAGTTTTCTCGAGTATGGCGTGGTTTATTGCAATAATCACACCATACTCGAGATTTTTCATTCTAACATGGTTTAAAAACCTTGTTTGCACTTGCATCTGATGCAATCATGGCTAAGTTTTCCACAGGTGTAGTAGCTCCCTTTTTCCCATTCATCACATTCCTACGGCTTTCTTCTCTCCTAACTTCAGCAAAGACATCACCAACAGGAGGCAGAGGTTGGTGGCCAATTATTCTCCCTTCGACTTCATCAAATTCGATGTTTAAGCCGGCAAGAAATTTGTAGATACGGTGATCCTCCACCATCTTTCTGTTGTGATTGCAGTCCTCGGTTGACTTCCACTCATAATCATTGAACATGTCCAAATCTCGCCACAACCTTTTCAGAGAATTGAAGTACTTAGTGATACTGTCCTCTCCTTTACCAATGTCACCAAGTTTAATTGTCAACTCATATATTTGGGACTGATTTCCCAAATCCAAATGCGTCTGGGTGATATTATCCCAGAGTTCTTTGTCTGTTGGATAACACATATAGTTGGAGCTGATGTCTTCCTCCATGGAATTCACTAACCATGTCATGACCATGGAGTTTTCAGCATCCCTGGTAGCATTTGCCGAGTCCTCTTTTGCTGGTGCCTTCTTCTCTCCTGTTAAGTATCCGATCTTTCCTCGGCCCCGAATGTACATCTGGATGGACTGAAACCAACGCAAGAAATTATCACCATTGAGTTTGATGCTGATGATTTGCACCGAGTGAGAATCAGTGTTGGAGACATGTTTCTCAATGTTTTTCGGTGAAACGGTAACAGTGGATTCAGATGTGGTTTCTGATATGGTGAAGGACAACTTGCTGGTTCTAGGATTACCTCAGAAGGGTCAGAGAATAAGTCCTCAGCTTTGATACCATGAAAGCTAGAAAGAACAATATTTCTTATTCTCATATTCAAACAATGTACATAGCACCTCTATTTATAGGAGATACAAGGCATAAAATTAGGAATTGATTAACTACTAATTAGCTACTCTTTAGCTACTAATTTTGATCCTAATAAACTTTCCTATTCTATAGTATTGACTAAATCTAAATGTTTACAGTTGTGATATCCGAAAGAATTCAGCCATATCCTGGAAGAATTATTTTCTTTCCATTTCCAATATTGAATATAGTTGATATTTGTTAGTTTTCCTTTTCTCGGCTTATGTGGCGCATAGGCATTGTTCGTCATGCTATGCTTTTTAAGGGGTAAGTGTTTTATTGCCATAAAAGGGGATTTACAATGAAGCTTATGACATGCCAAAGGCAATACCCCCTCTAAAAGAGAGCTTACGCCTAGCCTGCAGAACAATTAAACCTCAGCAATTGGCATTGTAGGATAGTTTTTTGTGTGCTTTGCAAATCCTTAGAGCCTGGGGTCAAGAGAAAATTGATAAACTAATTGGCATGAGTAGTATTTTATTTTTGAGTTACTGCTTATGTCTACAAATTGGCTTTCATAGCTCCTTGGAGGGAAGTGACAGAAACTTGTTCTGCAGTAGTCAAGGACGCTAGATCGAAGGGGTGATCTCCACGAGTGCTCAAGAGTAGAAGGACGGCAACATCTTCGAGGGTTGGAGTTATCTGCCCCCATGCCAAAGAAAAAGTGTAAGTGCTGCGGTTCTAGCGGGAGACAACCATATCAGTGTTGGTCTGTACTTTGCGCACTGATAACACCCTTGAAATCGAAACAACATTGTAGAGACGAACATCCCGCAATTGCTGCTCGAACCCATCATCTGCAATGATGTCATCAACCCAGAGGGACCAGCCTGTTGATGGGCCCGAGTGAGTGCGATAGTAGATGTATGAATGGTGAAAGTCACCACGCTCCACGCAAAACAAGCCTAAACAGACTTGTAGGAACAAACGGGACCTTGATTGCATTTCCGGTTAAAAAATTATAAGGAAAAATGTAAAACACAAGGCTTAACAGGCCCGTTCAGGGGCCGAAATTTCGAAATGACCACTGAAACCACCGAAACTTGGCACGGACAGCTTGTTCAAGCCTAAATAGACTTTTAGGAACAAACGGGACCTTGATTGGATCCCCGGTTTGAAAATTAGAAGGAAAATTGTAAAATACAAGACTTAGAAGTCCCATTCGGGGGCCGAAATTGCGAAATGACCACCGAAACCACCGAAACTTGGCACGGACAGCTTGTTCAAACCTTAATAGACTTGTAGGAACAAACGGGACCTCGATTGGGTTTCTGGTTTAATCCTTCACAAAAGGTTCTTTTGTATAAAACTAGACTACATTTGTTTCCTGGTAAATTGAGATTTAGATGGATTGGGCCGTTTCATAGTTAAAACTGTTTTTTCTCATGGGGCCCAGATTGAAAATCCCAAGAATGGTAATGTTTTTAAAGTGACTGGCCAATGTCTTAAACCAGTTTTGGAGAATTTCCCACCTGAAGAGGAGAGGAGTCCATCGAATTAAAAGACCCTATTCATTCATTCATGTTTGAGCTGGTAAAGATGTTTGTAGTCCTTCTTTCACAATAAGTTATTTATGGGGAAAAAAAGAAATTATGATTTCATCTAACAATTATTCTCTATTTATGCATATCATATGATAAATCATATTTGAAAATCACTCTTCCAATGTTTGATTGCAGTGAATTTTTAGACTGTGTTGTTGCTGCTACACTGACTTTCGAAATCTTAACAAGAGAAAACTTCTAACTAATTTTCCGACATTACTCCCTCAGGTATGATTTGAGATTGGCATGATTCTTTGCTTGGGGTTTAGTTTCTTTATTTGACTGAATTTTCAGATTTAGAAGTAGAAAAGAAGTATGAAACATGTATATCAAATATTTTGGTAACTTATCCTCCTCTAACATCAGTCTTGCATTTGTATTTTTTCCCATTAATGCTAAGTTCCTCATGTCATCTTTTTGGTTCTGTTCTTAAAAGATATATTTAATTTATTTTATTGGAATGATCTTAGTTATAATTCGTGCAATTGTTGTGTCCTCGAGATACTTGTATATGACAAATGCCAAAAGTGCTGGATATTGGGATTGAAATAAAGGAGTGTCTTGAAAATAGGTCAAACAGTTATAAGAAGTGCATTAATTTCCATAAAAACTGCATTGAATTTAATAAAAAGTGTCTTGTGTTTTCAAAAAAAAATTTGGGTCTACTTTTCGTGTCCCCGGGACACTTGTTAACAAGACCCTTTATATATTGGTATTCATAATTGTAGTCTTATTTTATTTTTGTCCTGTCAATGCTACTTCAGAAATAAATTTTGTTGCTTATGTGATGCCACATCTTATTTTGTATGTTTAAAGTTATTATGCACCTTCCCGACCTTGTTGGAACAAAATATGGTATTGTAATTTCGTACTGAAACTAATTGAGCCTAACGGAAATTTTGACAACTAAACACATATGTTTAATTTCAAAAAGGAGGATCTAAAAGAATGCTTTCGGAGATACTGTGGACTCAATCTGCAGTGAAGGGCATTACTGACTTTCATACATATATTTTTTTTCTGTTGTCTTTTTTGATGCAGATTTGAAAAATCGTTTCTAAGTGTGTTTCCAGCATTGATGTCTCTTGGGTCATTTTTCAGCTATTTCCTTCTCTCGTTGACTTACCAAGTAAGTTTGTTTTTCAGGCATGGTTGTTAATTCTCTACACAGGTTTGGCTTTGCGAGAGAACATACTTAGAGTGAATGGAAGTGATATTCGCCCATGGTAATTTGATATGATCTTATATGCATTTAGTTGAATTTTGTGCTAAGATTGCCTTGCATTTATTCTTCATCATTTAAACTATTTGTGTATTTGTGATTGAGATTTTTTTAAAACATATTTTCATAGTCAGACATTAGTAATTTCATCTCCCATGCCTTTCAGGAGGGAAAGTGAATATGCAATTTTACTGGCAATGAATTTATGCTATAAAATAGAGTTGCCAGAAGAATCTTTTGACTTCAATGCTTAAAATTATAGCATGATATTCAGTAAATGAATTTATACAGTGTGTTGTCAAACTGCATATTGCAATGAATTAGAAAATGAACAGAGGGTAGAGTATATGAAAAAAATAATGGTTGTCAATAATGAAAGGAGGATATTACTCTAGATGGAGCTGCATGTTGCAAAAGAATTCATTGAGTTGACTCCAAATAGACATGTTTAATTTTGTTAAATTGAGTTTTTCTGGCAGTATCTTGTTCTCTTATATGCAGCAGCAGCAACTACATTCTAATTCCAACGAATTTCTGCCATGTTCAATATTACTGGACTCATATCATGCTTTTTATTCAACTGGCAGGCTCATTCTCTTTATTTTTCGAATTGTGTCAGACATCCCAAACATACTAGTTTTTTTTACCTCATATTTTAGCCAAATAGCCAAAAAGTTACTAAATTAGCCTGTTCCCAAACGAGGCCTAAGTGTGTTTCCAGCATTGATGTCTCTTGGGTCATTTGTTCAGCTATTTCCTTCTCTCGTTGACTTACCAAGTAAGTTTGTTTTTCAGGCATGGTTGTTAATTCTCTACACAGGTTTGGCTTTGCGAGAGAACATACTTTATAGAGTGAATGGAAGTGATATTCGCCCATGGTAATTTGATATGATCTTATATGCATTTGGTTGAATTTTGTGCTAAGATTGCCTTGCCTTTATTCTTCATCATTTAAACTATGTGTATTTGTGATTGAGATTTTTTTAAAACATATTTTCATAGTCAGACATTAGTAATTTCATCTCCCATGCCTTTTAGGAGGGAAAGTGAATATGCAATTTTACTGGCAATGAATTTATGTTATAAAATAGAGTTGCCAGAAGAATCTTTTGACTTCGATGCTTAAAATTATAGCATGATATTCAGTAAATGAATTTATACAGTGTGTTGTCAAATTGCATATTGCAATGAATTAGAAAATGAACAGAGGGTAGAGTATATGAAAAAAATAATGGTTGTCAATAATGAAAGGAGGATATTACTCTAGATGGAGCTGCATGTTGCAAAAGAATTCATTGAGTTGACTCCAAATAGACATGTTTAATTTTGTTAAATTGAGTTTTTCTAGCAGTATCTTGTTCTCTTATATGTAGAGCAGCAACTACATTCTAATTCCAGTGAATTTCTGCCATGTTCAATATTGCTGGACTCATATCATGCTTTTTTATTCAACTGGCAGGCTCATTCTCTTTATTTTCTGAATTGTGTCAGAACTTGGATGAAAGTGTGAAAATGCATTGGATTTTTTTTTTGTGATTCTTATCTGCCTCCTAGATTAATATGTATACAACCACAGAATATGTTAATGCTTGCACTTGTGCTGATGTAGGTGGATAAAACATCACTACTTCGCTATGGCCATGGCACTTATCAGTCTCACTTGGGAGACCCACAAGCAGGTTATTCTCCTTCTTAAGTGCATATTGAAATTTTGTTTTTTTTTTTTTTTTTTTTTTTTTGAGTGAGACTGTACATGTACTGTGCAGAGAGGGGTGCAACTGTTCCTTCAATGGGCTATCATGCAAGGAGTTGCAATGCTTCTACAAAATAGATATCAACGGCAAAGGCTTTGTACACATATTGCACTCGGCAAGGTGTAATTGAAAAGAAAAAACAAAAAAAAACTCCTTTCACCAACGAATTTTTGTGCATGCTTCATTTTTGCCTTTATTATCTTCAGTTCTTTCTGCAGTCTACTTTGCGTGTGTGTCTGCACTTGGTTGGGTGCTCTTTGCGAAACCTTGTCGTCCTGCATGGTTTGCAGAACTTCAATGAGTTCTTTTGCTTCTGTTGGTTGCAACAACCATGTTTTTGTCTTCTAGCCGATCTGTGTTAGTTTTTTATGGCCCATCAAAATACAGATATAATTTTTTTTTGGTGGGCATATAATGTTTATTGCAGTTGTTCTCCTCTGCAGGTCTGGGATGACTCTTACCATTTGATCCCGTTGTTAATTGCAGGCTAGGAGAATGGACGTTGTTTGGGGAGAAACTGCTGGAGTCGACGGTCAACTATGGTTGTTGGCACCCATTCTATTCATATTACAGGTGATTTAAGTTGTACAAATACCTGTTTTGGGGACCATCCCCACAAAAGATCATATTAATGTATGCTTTGCCATCCAAGTCATGTTGAATCAAACAAACACAAAAGCGATTTAAATTAAGATTGTTAAATATTCATTTTTTTTCCTACATAACTTGCCAAAAGTTATGTACATGTATAAATAATTAAATATATATAACAGCTAGGGAAGGGAAGTTTTTGTTACTATCAAACATCATCACATTCCTTGAGTGTTTTCTTTCATTACTTGATGAAGTTGAAGTCATATTATCATTCTCTTCTAGTTTGCCATCCAACAATCCTAGTTTTATACATGTAATGCAACTTGCTCTTTCATCACAGCTCTCTCTCTGTTTTGAACTTCTTTGGCTCACATGTCATGATGTCACCATGAAGTTACTTGATTTTTTTTTTCGTTTTTTTCTTTGAAGATATTAGGAAGAGGCATGCTCACCAAAAAAAGGAAAGAATATGTACATCATTGCATGATGATCATTAATTGCCCAATCCTTCAGTGAAAAAAATAATGAAACACTACAACAAAAAACATTTTTTTGGCGACATTTTTTAGCAACCAAACTGAAATTAGTCGCCAAGCTGCACTAGCTGGTGTTGTTTTTGAGTGGCAGTTAAGAAGTATGTTTTGAGTATTGTTATGTGGATGCTTGGAGAAGTATTGCCATGGGTTTTATATTTGTGATTTACTTTGCTTTTAAGATTAAATTCTTAATTCTATTTCAGTATTTGCTTGAGTAATTTAACATCTTAGTTGGATTCATAGTCAAGGTTGTTAAAATCGGGATCCTAGGTAGGATCGTAAGGTGAAAAATCAAAAAATCAACGATCCTACTTATGATCCTACCTATGATCTTATACGATTTTACACGATCCCATATGATCCTACTTGCGGTCCTATTGTAGCACCCATCCTACAACGATATGGATCTTTTTAGCAATATAGGATCGTATCCTATGATCCGGATCGCGATTTTAATAACCATTCTCATACTGGGATAAAACTTAATGGATTATCTAATTTACTTTTGGTCAGGTTGTTACCTGTGGGGTGCTACTGATTGTTATGGCAGTTGGGAATTTTGCAAACACAGTGCAGACACTAGTGGCAAAATCTTGATTTAAAGCGAAAATGAAGAAAACTAAAAGTAAGCTAGAACTAAATTTGGGATCCCATCCCATTCCCTATAATTTGTGACCGGGAAGACTGTTGTGCTAGTTGAGTTTGAGGATATGAGAATTTCTTTCGCAACCCGTTATTCCTTGTAACAACCTTTTCACCTTTATACGCTTAGACTAGTGATGTTGTTTGTGAGAGTGACCTTTAATTGCATCAAATAGAGCTATAATTTGGTTGTTACAGTTGTGCCAATAGTCTATTATACCTATTATTTTGTGTAATTTGTCTTTTTGTGAATTAAGTAGACACATTATACCGTTACCCTTCCAGTGCTTTTTTGTGTGTCTTCTGTCATTTTGAATCTGGTTGTTTTGTTTTATTTATGGGCTAATTACACAGACTTCCCTGTGGTTTCTAAAATGAAATTACACTGTTCTTTCTTAGCAACGGAAATGTCTTATTTATATCACTATATTTTGGCAACTAGATGCCAAAATTACCTTTTATTTCTTAAATATTGAACACCCAACTAAATCCATCCGGCCGAGGCCCTTGTGGCCAACCGGCATGTAGCCTCGCCTTAGGGTTACTGCGGTGAGTGGAAAGTTTGAGGTTCGAGTTGATAGATCAACGGCGGTTCTTTAAATTTATAATCTAATTTTACTAACATACTAACATTCTATCTTTGACCCAAAAAAAAAAACTGAATCTATCCTTGCAACCAAACAAGCCACATTAATATTAGCATAACAAGCAAACACCCCCTTATCTTCGACTATTTTCTTCCATCTTCTTCCCGTTCCTTCTCCATTGGCAACACCACCACATTTCACAGTGGGAGCAAAACCTTGAGTAGGGAGGAGATGGCGACAACTGTCTCTTATAGTCTCTTTTGAAAATCTCTCTTTCCTTCCCTCCAACAACACACTAAATCCATCACAACCATTGTAAACTTGGGCTACTACAGTTGGTTTTCTAGTGCACTTGTGTTGTTGGTCGGTTGCTGGTTGGTTGTTGGTTTTCTGTTGGAATGCTTGTTGCTGATGATGGTTTAAATGCGAGCAAACTAATTTTTATAAAATAAAATTGTATTAAAAAGTCCTCCAATATAACGTTCCAACATACATAAAAATATATAATAATGTTTCACTTATTACAAATACTTTAATAATTAAAATATTATGTACTCTAATATTACGCATTGAAGCATGAGGAAGGAGCATAGCTCGCTTTTGGAGAGCTAAGATACAGGTTTGTAAAATAAATTTAAATTGAATAGATTATAATTGTCCTTTTTTTTTGTTATGACAAATGCAATAAATTAAATAGGTTATGATTATTAAATCGATATAATTTTTCTGTGTTCACAAAATAAAAAATGAAATGTCCAACATCTTTAATAGTACGAATTATCAAGACGAGATCTATGACAGACCTTATAAGACTAAATAGCGCTGTTCAATTTAAATTATGGACCGGAGAGAATTTCCTCATATAAAATAACTACATTAGTGGCTGTGTTTTTTTTTCTTTTTGTAATTTAAGAGTGGATCGGAGAGAATTCCCTCATATAAAATAACTAAATTAGTGATTCTTTTTTTCTATCTCTAATTTAAGAGGTTTCATAGGGAGTAGGGAATCTAATTAAGAGGAAGATCCCTTTCATTTCAAAATTTGGATTAGAGAGCATTATTTTGGCCCATGAGGCCTACGACATGTCGCGTTTCGATAATCTGAATCGTTCATTTTATCAAACACTTTGCGTATTTCATCTACACAAAAAAATTTAAATCCAAACAAAATATATTTAAATTAAGTGCATCTAAAAAATACATTTAAGTGCATCTGAAATGTAAACAAATCATGATCATGAACTAGTAATTCTCTCACCATCGCTTCACATTCTTCATTATTTTTCGTTGCTTCAGACAATTGAACAACAATATCCAACATCCAAATCATCTGACATGAGCTCCTCAAAAGTGAATTCAACTTCCTCATCATCTCCTTTCCATGAATTCTCTCTTACTCTTCATCTCTTCAAGAGACATCAATAAATAGGACTGCTATTTCTCCAAATTACTCGCATATTCTTTCAAATCCAACAAGTTAAACTTCGAAACATCCACCGAATGCCAATTCAATTTGCAGAGCGCCGTCACCAAATCAGAAGGAGTGTCGACGGGAGAAAAAGCGACGCAGGCGATGTGGAGACGAGAGAGTTCCACAGCTTTCTTAAAAAGGCTTTGATGGCCAGTGACGAAGCCAGAAAATTAAATTAGAGGCACTTATTAATTACAATATCGAAATATTTTACAAAAATATTTTATGCAAGTTTTTACGATTGATTTCGAGAAACATCAAAAAAATAATCACCATGCTTGGTTACCATTTTTCAAAAACACTTTTCAGAAAATTCTACTTTCTTATTTTTCATTTTTTTTGTTTTTATTGAATTTTTTTAATATTTTGAGCACTTTTTTTTAATTTTTAGATTTACCTAACATAAATATACCTAAAAAGTAAAAAAAAAATTGAAAAAAACTTTTTAAAAATTCACTAAATACCAAAAATACAAAAAAAAATACGAGAATTCAGTACGTCTTTTATATTTTTATGTATTTATTAATTTTTAAAAATATTTTTTCACAAATTTTTTACTTTTTAGATACGTCTAAGTAAGGTGTATCTAAAAAAGTAAAAAAAAAAATGTTCAAAATTTTAAAAATATTCACTAAAAACAAAAAAACACGAAAACTAAAAAACTCAGTTTTCAAAAAACTTAATTCAAAAAATTCAAACCAAACACACTGAAGGCTATTTATAACAAGTGTATCATGGACAATATAAAAAAAATATAGATATAAGTCTTAAAATAAATTATATAATGATAAATAACGTTTTTATACAAAATTTGATTAAAAATTCAATATAATGATAATACCACGTCATTATTAGTATGTGATATTACCAACTAATAGTAAATAAACACATAAAGAGAATTTCGCATGTCAAGTATAACTAACAATCTAATAAATTCATATCTTTATAGTGAGATTACTTATACTTGCATGTCAACAATAATGAACTCACCGTTACATTCAAAAAATTTCATAAACTTTTCATAGATAATATGATTTATAATAGTCTCTTCATTTTCAATCAAAATAATCATTATTATTCTCATAATTTTTAAAATGTCATTAACATTTTACTCTAATAATATTTTTATAATTTTTTTTATTTAAAATATTTTCTTTATATTTGCAACAAAAAAAAAAGGAAGAAGAAGCCCAAGATCCCAGGAGGGGCACGTGACCCCCCTGGTCCTCACTTCCCTCTGCCACTGTTGGCAGCGCTTTGTGAAGCAAATGTTGCAAGATTTTGGACAATCAATTTTCGCAATTCGTCTTTGTTTCTTCTCCATCATTGTCATTGTTAGGGTTAGATCAATATAATCTAAAATATGTAGATTGAGAGGCACGAAGAGCTCACAACAACGGTGGGAAAAAAAAAGGTAGTGTTTTAGGGTTAGATTGATATAAGCTTAAAGAAATTTCCTATAAATCAAGCTAAAATATATGGCCCCACCATTTTACACTTGGCCGCAAACTTGTGGCGATGGATTTAAGTAGGTAAATCATAAAAGCATACCTACCCTAGAAACTTGTAAGCAATTGCAATTCTGTTGAGTTCAAGCTTCAGTAATTGAATACTTACATATACATACAGTACGCACAAAGCAATTATAATACATACTTGTACATCTAGTTTTTCAAAGAATTTCCAAAACATTCCAACCTTGGTTGTTGTTCCAATAAAGAACAATAAGAGCTGCAATAGATCCATCATTTAGTTTGAAGGTCAACCAAAAAAGATAATATGGCAATCATCTGACTGATTTTCAATTATTAACAGAAAAGAAAAAACAAAATGCATCTTGGGTCTCATACAAGCTATGGAAAGCAATGTGCTTCTTAAGCAAACCAAGTACAAAAGCAAAAAGAAAGAAATTCAACATAAAGAAACAATACAGAATGTAAACTAATGCTATTGAATATTCAAACATTTCAACCAAAAAGGGAGAGCAAGATAAAAGGACGAAGCAAGGCCTTTTGGGTTCACTTGAAAGGCCACCTTACCAAAAAAACAAAAACAAATAAACACATATAAGCTTTGCTCCATCAACATCAGGTGAACAACAATACCCATACAAAATAAACCAATCTTTACTAGAAGGTATAAATTTTTCAAGGGAATCAAACAGACCCATAGTAAAATAAAAATAAAATAAAATAACAATGAATAATCGAGCTCAGCGGAACAAGCATGGTCAATATCTAATGATTGATTATGTTGTTAATGCCCTAAAAACCAATTATGCTTTGGAATGTGAGAAAATTGGAGGAGTGGTATAGATTGTCAGTTTCCATTTTTTACAATTCTTCCAACAATGTTAACTTCAATGGTTCTTCTTAAAGTTTAAATCTTGGATTCACATGCTAGGCTGCAAAAGCAGGAAAAAAATTTGTTGTTATTGACCCACAAAAGGGTTTGAAAATTTTCAAAATTAACCCTAACAATTGCAGAAATTATTACAGATATTTGACTAAAGTGATGAACTGAGCAAACTCATTATTAGCCAATCCAGTTCTTGAAAGAAGGTGGTTTGGAACGATTTCGCTAAGTCGGCCCAGTAGGGATAACACCTAATTCTACACTATAGACCTTTCTACACAGACAAATATCTCAAACATACATAGGCACATTCATAAGAATTATAATTATTAACAGTTGATATAACCAGAGGATTGCTTATTAACTAACTCTGTGAACACAATAACACCAAATAATTAAAAAGCAATTATTCAGGGAACAACAACAAGAAGAAAGCGAGAGCGAGAGAGAGAGAGAGAGAGAGAGAGAGTGTGCATCACAAGCTCTAAAAGCGATATGTTGATTCTACTTGAAGAATAAAATCTTAGAGAAGCCTATAGCTGAGGTTGTTTGTTCCTTCCCTCAAACAAGGAGAGAGGGAGAGAGGTTTGGGGGATTCATAAAGAAAGGACAGGGATGCGGTTAAAAATCTGAAGTGATCATGAATTGGTGGTGTACTGCTGCAATTGGAAGACTATGTTACTCTTGTAACAGCTCTGGTAGATTGCTAATCAAGCAAACCACAGACCATGAAAGCTTGTTAATATAAAAAAATAAAATAAAATCATGATTGGCCTCCAAGTTTACATTTGATTATAGACCATAGTAGTTAATTAAGTTCAAACCATGGCCGAGTCAACACAAAACAATTTATCAAACTAAAATTCATGCCTATATATACACATGCATAACACATCTCCAATTACCATCTCTGTCAACTTGACAGCCTTTCTTTTATGGTCATGTTTGAATTTGAGTTGTGACAAAT